TATTATTATTATTATTATTATTATTATTATTATTATTATTATTATTATTATCGTGGCACAGACGGTTGTCCGCGCCGAAGAGGCTCCAGGTTCGAGTGCTGCTTAGGCATGGTTGTTTTTGAGATTGATCCTTCTCCTCTCATTATCATCTTATCACCTCATTATTCACAATTCAAGGAGTAACAACCTTGTCTTAACAAGGGATACTGCTGAAAAGAAGATCCCTATAATCACGGCTATAAATACGGCTGAAAAGCAAATCCCTATAATTACACACGTTAATCTCTCCCCAATTACAATTAGTCTGCGCCACGGAAGCGAATGTGGTCAGAAATGGCCTATACGGAAATAATAATATTAACAATAATAATAACGACAATAATAATACATAATTCATTGATACCATCGTTTCGGCTAGTCCAATTCTAGCAAAGACTCAATTCATCAAAAGACAAGACAGGGTGTGTAGTTATCTCCAACCGCTATCAGCAATGCCTTAGAAGTCCCCAAAACATGTTTCAAGTGCTACGAACACTCAGCAAAACTGGTGACTCTAACTAGACAGCTACGAGTTAAGCCGCTGTCTGAAGGAGAATTCTAGCATGCAGCGGCTCTCATCGGTAGTTTTCTGTGATTTCTCCGATCAACACAAGGCGAACGTCGGAGCAGTAACATACGGGCTATGGACCACGCGCGATCTTCCCTTCCTCTTCCTTCTCCTCTTGCACACACTGACATTCGCTATTCGACCATACATGCCGGGAGCTTAGAGCTTGTTCCGGTTCGCTGGCGGGAGAAACGTGGTCGGGGAAAATCTCCGCAAGCCGATCTAGGGAGGAAGATCACCACATCCAGCGATTAAACATGCACTACATTTACGGGACAAATGAAAGCTGTTGACGCGCCCGGAATTAACGTCAATCAGTCAATTCCATCTTCGAACGTGGCAGGCACGTTACTACTACACCACTAGCCGCGCGTCCCAAATCATCTTTCCAGAACTTGAAAGGTGATCATTTGCTTAGGCAATATATTAAAAAATTCAGATTTTCATTTACATTATTACAACATCTAGTTTTAAAGAAAAAAATTCATTAAAGAAAAATCTCTGTAATCAATATTGTAGTTTGGTAGTGTTATTTATATTTGTTCAGATTTCGAAAATACGGAAAGTTCCGAAAATGGCGCCAGCGCCATATTTTTAGGAGTCACGTGATCTAAACATGGAAAATATTTTAAAAAAAGCTTTTTTATAAATTGCATTAACTTG